GCACCATCGTGGGTCCCACATCTAGTTTTGGGGCCTTGTCTCACTACTCCTTTCATCACTTGCTCATGGGAACACACTGCGTCAGCTACCACACAGTGGACATTACACATGTATGATACAAAGACAAAAAATAGCTCATTCCTTTTTATCCAGAAACAAACTTGGTGAGATCTGCCGTGCTTAAATGAAAGTTTCCAACACTTGCTGACCGCGCCGGTCAAATTAGGCTGCTCGTGCATTGGCTATGTCACTCTAAAGCTCTGTATTAATGTGCGAAAGTGTTGCAGTTATTGATTCACTGGAAGCGGTACATCATATTTTTGTAATGATTTGGGAAAATGTGTGTGCGTCATTGGAAGTCGCAGTGCTCTTTTGCATTAGAGGGAGAGTAATTTTGTTTTAGCTCTTTTTCCCACAAGTGCTTGGATTAATGCCCATGAGTTTACCAATCCTGTTTACTATGTTTTTATGTGGTGGTGCTCAGTTTTTACAATACCCATTATCCACGAGCCTAACAAAGTGCCACTCATAAAGTGTTGCTTTAATGAAACTATGCTTTGTGCTGTTTTATGCACTGTGTTTTGCGAAAATTGGTGTTAATCTGTTTGGGGCTCATAAATTAAGCCTTTTGTTACAACATGTTTTATGAAGTTTGTTGCTCTCAGAGCTGCTTTTGGAACAACAGATGGAGTGTTTGAAGTGTGTGTGTGCATGTGTGTGAGCGCTAAAATTGATGAAGAGACCTCCCTGGATTTGAGTATTGCTACAAATCACCACTCGATACTGGATGCAGAAACCCCCAGTCATTCTATGTGAGAGGGCGTAGCTAACAGTACTGAGTAGTCTGCAGTTCCTCTTTGGGGCGCCTCCTGACAGGAACTTGGCAGCAAGGAAACATAAACAAATTCCCTGTGGTGGGCTGGCAGGCTGGTCGGCGCGGTCCCCCCCCCCGTTACCATACATGCACAGCGCAGCGCAGCCCAGCTCTGGCTAGCATGCTCAGCTCAGAACCCACAAGCTGTGAGAAATAGATCTTAAAGGGACAGGTGCTGCTGGCTTTCCATCATAGGGCACAGGGCCACTCTGTATTTGCAGTCTGTTTTCATTGTGTTGTTCTAGACTGACAGCGGTGTGTGTTACTTCTCCTGCACAAACCCCTGACAGATCCAAAAAAACACCTTTCATGCTTAGGGGAGGGGAACTGTAGCCAGGGGTCCCCAAATTTGTGCTGAGTGAGCAAAAAGCCAAAGCAAGGATGATGTAATGATGGCAGCGATGACGGTTGGGGGAGATCGGAGCGAATGCAGTTGTTGCAATCTGGAATGAAAGAGAGAGGGGACACGATTGCTAAAGTGGTCATTACGTATACCCAAACAGTTGCACAACCAAAACATGCATTGTTTTGCACATGTTGTATTTATGCATTTGTGTGCAGAAAAAAAACTCAGATTTCTGCAGTTTTCTCTTTCTTTTTCACTCACCCTCTTCAAACACAGTAGTGTATTGTGCAGCCTGACCTGGTCCCTGTCCAAAGGCAAAGAGAACCCAGATTGCTGAAACAGAGGGGCCACTACTAACAGGCTGGCCAGGCTGTAGTTGTTATAGCCCGCTGTGGCCTTCCAAACCAACAGGGACTTCTGGCTGAGGCCAGAAACTCTGTGTGTGTGTGTGTGTGTGTGTGTGTGTGTGTGTGTGTGCACTTGAGTATTCTTTTTGATCAACCACAGAGGAGGTTTTTGGACAGGACTTGCAGGAGCCAACATGGCACCTCAGCGCAGTTTCATAAGCACTGGTAAAGGCATTTGCCTGACTTTTAATAGTCCTTCTCCATAACATCATCCAAATGCACTATTTTCAACCGTCCTTTAAGGGCGGTGCTCCTGGAGCAGGCGAGTAGGAGGAGAAGACCCTTCGCCTCCTTCAGTTCTCACTAGGAGGATTAAATGCCTCGGTGGTTTCAGTCATCTGCTTCAGCAGCTCGTCTGTGTGCTTTCACATGTGATTAGCACCTGTAATAATGTGGAATAGTGGCACACTAAAGTACTTCAACAGGCTGGATTTTCTGTCTGTCTTGGGGTGGGCATTAAATGAAATATGTTCAATGTATTCTGCATGGGATATACTAGATGGCTGTATCCTTAACACTAGTACAAAGGGTTTTTGTTTGCAGTTGTTTTTTTTTTTTTAAAGCCAGATTCTCTAGTTCTGTCCTGTCGATGTCTCTTTCACACACACAGGCACAAAAAGAATATCACATTTCTCCTGCATATCCAGGCGAGTGTGTACGTAGCTGGACAGTCGGGCTTTTCCCTCATGTTAAAACATCTGTCAGCGTTTACAACTTTAATGAGATGATTAAGCGAGACTATCATTCTGGTCATGAAAAGAAAAGAAACAAAACAAAACACAAAGAGTGAATTCTAAGAGGTAATCTTATGTTCTCTCCAGAGCTTTTCTCACATAATCTTGGGGCAGTGTCTGCAGAATCAAGTTGGGACACTATCCAAGTTGTCTTTTCTCAGGTGTAGCTCCAGCCACAATCTCACTACTGGAAATGGTCCATTAATGTGCACTGTTGTCACAGATCGGCACTGTCGGACTTCATGTAGACTTGCTGTGGAACTGTAAGGCTAAAGACTGCTGATTGTCTGTCTCTGACATTTGTGTTTTCACCTCTTAAGTCTGGCTGATTATGTCTAGAAAGATTCAGAGTTGCATTGCTCAAGTTTGATGTCAGCAAAAAGAAACTATTGTGATTAAGTTGACGTGCTAGCTTGAAGTGTCTCACCGATATAGGGAAGCACACCTCTCAGTCTGCGGTCTGTCTGCGTCTTG